ATCAGAATGGAGTGACTGACACTCGGTCTGTGTTCTTCTGTCCCAAAGGGACCCAGTCTTCCTTCTCACCCCTTCGAGTGTCAGTGCTCTACCCACGGGACCTGCTGTTCAACAAGTACAGGCGCTTCCTACTTTACAGGCTGCCTCACCATTTTCCACCATGGCCCCCTAAGAGACAGAAACACGAAGCAAGAACGCTCCCTTTAGTGGCCTAATCTTAGACGTGTTTCCTAAAAATGGTCTGTACCTAAAAATGTCCGCTTATGCTTTGCCTCATTCATTATGCTTTCATCTAAAATACTTACTATGAAATGCATTTAAACTTAATTTTCTTGTCTTCACGAACATATGTTATTTCAGATGCAGCAGCCCCTCCTTTACCTCCGTTTGACCAGCTTAGATCAGAAAATGATTCTCTAGAAGTGTATTTAATCTAGTCCACGATCAGATACTCTTTCTTTTCTGACAGTCCATTGAAAAAAAATCAAACAGCCCTCTACCTCCTCGTCTTCTCGTCAACCTAACTAGAGTTTCATCATTTTCTTTCAGGTAGATCCACTTAATCTGTATTCCTTTATTTATACTACCACAAATAATTACCGTGTATAACAAAATGTCAAAATAAATGCTTGGTGTGGCTTCATGGAATAGGATGTAAGCATATAGATGTATGTGTTTAGGGAGGGAGATTTAGGTAAATGACCTTCCTACTATGTAGAGCTGTCCTATAATGGAAAAGACTCAAGCAAGGTCAAGATGCCAGCTAGCAGAGATGCTACCAAAGGGACCGTTGCACTGAGGGGAGAGTTAATTAATTTCTAAGATCCTGTCCAACTGAAGTATTTTATTAAAATTTAAAAAAATTGATTGCACAATCAAATGATAACCAAGAAATCTCGTATTTTATTGGCTATTAGTCTCATTGGTGAAATCACACTAGGCCCTTTCCTGAGAGTGCCTGTGTAAAAATATTTAATACTAATCAGACAGTAAATTTTGGTTCCAACATTGACATAGAGTGGAAAAGCAAAGAGGGTTATTAAACAGAAGTAACAATTGTGCTATTTTTATTGCTTTAAAGGGGAACTTAAAACTTAGTTCTTCAAAAAATAAAAATAAAAAACAAAACTTAGTTCTTTAGGTGCCTCTTATACCCTGATGACAAAGGATTAAATATTGAGAGAAAATGTCAAAAGCTCTAAGGAAAGCTAAGGAAAAATCAACCTGTAATCATCATCAATACATTTAACCTAGTTAAGTAATACCACTAAACAAGATGAAAGTCTATGAAAATATACTAAACTTCGTTATTTGAAACTATTAGAGAAATTAACATAATACAATTTTAATTTGTTCAAAGGGGAAACATTTCTAATTTTACATAAACGTTTTCCTAATATCAACCTAATATTTTTTCTTTCCTTCTTTTTCAAATGATGTGAACAGTATCATCAAGTGGTCTATGGTCATGCAGTCTGAACATTGGGCTCTCACATTTCAATAATTTCACTTTTACGGAACTATGAATATACAGAAAGAATGTTAAAAACTCATTTAGCGTTAATGTTCCAAATGTACCAAACACATTTGGAATAGGGACAAGGCCTGAGGGTCAGGATGTATGCTGCTTGGTACACTTCTCTTCTGACCTTCCTATTGGGGTTGAACCAGTTCAATAAGAGATGAGGCATTTGGTGCTAAAATAACTTGCATCTTCATAGGGCAGGAAAGAGGAGTTAAGGCCAAAGAAATCACCTGTATGCTTTTGTAAACAACAACAACAACAACAACAACCAGCAAAGGAATTTGTTGAATTTAGGAAGAGTTAGGGAAACATGAGAAATAGGGAGCTGATTCAATTTCATATTCAAATTGGAAAAGAGCAATAACACAGCTATTAAGGAAAAATAGCTTGCTTGAACTATTGCAAAGCACTCTAATAAACTGCTATGATGCTTAATATTTTTAAAAAACGAAATGTTAAGACCTGTACTGTAAAGAAAAAAATCATGCATGACAGGGATTTCTTCTCTGAAATACAGTTAATTATTTCACTTTTTAAAAAAAAAGCACTTTAAGGGGCATCTGGGTGGCTCAGTCAGTTAAGCGGCCAACTTCAGCTCAGGTCATGATCTCATGGTTCGTGGGTTTGAGCCCCGCATTGGGCTCTGAGCTGACAGCTGGAGCCTGGAGCTTGCATTGGATTCTCTGTCTCCCTCTCTCTCTCCCCGTCCCCTGCTCATGCTCTGTCTCTCATTCTCTCAATAAATAAATATTAAAAAAAAAAAATTAAAGCACATTAAATAAAGAATATTAACATTTTCCCTATATTATCTAAAACAGGCTCACTGAATGTTACCTGATAGATTTTGAGGATATTAAACATATTTCTAGACACAACTTGCAATGACCGGTAGATTTCCTATTACAATTATATTAACTATCATCAGTGGCGTGAAATATCTCTATAGAAGTAAATTAAATAGAGACAGGTCCTGCCCTTTCAGTCTACAGTTTCAATGATGTAGACAAACGAAACTCTAACCCCTGTTACAAGCCCTTCAGATGTAAAATCAAATAAGCAAACATGACACTTTCACATCTGCCAACTGTAGAACCGTGTGTCCGCTTGCTACATTCCTCAAGTAATTAGTTCATGGAAGTCTTTTCCCAGCCACTATGGGACCACTCAGACCTTTCAATTTTTAGAAAACGAAGCTGAAAAGTATTCAGGTGATCAAGGATGATGGCTTATCCAATTTCAGTCCTAAAATTTTTGTCTACAACATTGAGGTCGAGCTATAAAGAGCCACAAATAGCTTGAAGGTCAATAGCTCTGGGTCTGAGGACCCAGCCTCCTGGCCAGGGTGCCCTCTGAAAGGAACCAACCTAGGTGGCAGGTGCCCAGGCCTCCCTCCTGGAAGCCTCCACCCACCAAGCACAGGAACAGCACGGACAACCTGAGCATCGCCCTCCCCTCAGAGTGGGGCCTGTAATTTGCCAACATGCACATGCACATGCAGCTCCCCTATCCTCCCCAGACCCTCCCCGTGCTCACATCCATAGCTTCAAGAATGCCAGGAGTCATACCCACCTAAGACAAGCTTTCTCTAAGATTTTTTTTTTTAATTTTAAAGTACTCTCTGTACCCAATGTGGGGCTCGAACTCACAACCCCAAGATCAAGAGCTGCATGTTCTACCCACTGAGCCAGCCAGGCGCTCTGCAAGCTTTTTCTATTAACTTAACTCCTCCTATAAGGCTCCTACTCAGCAGCCCCTCAACACCCAGACATTCAGAGACCCCATGCCATCTTGCACTTACTGAAATAACGCTTGTTACCATTCTTACGCCGCATCATTTGAGTGGGTTTCCGCTCCCAAATTAAATTACAAGTTGCTTGTGGGACAGAACTGTGCTTTCTCTCTTTTGAATCCCCCCTCAATGTCCAGAACAGTGCCCAGCACAGAACAGGTACTCAAGAAATGGTGGTTGGTAGTGATGGTCATGGCTGGAAGTCAGAGGGTGGCTGGCTGAATCTCCACATGTGGGTCCATCTTCGGTCACTACTGAGAGAGTCCCAAGGGGCATATGTCACTTCCCTCCCACACCACATCCAACCCCTGAGCCCACAGCCCTTCCAGAAGGGCTTAGCTTCCAGGCACCACTTACAACAAGCCATATTCAGCCCCTCACCATGCCCTCTCTTTTAGCAGGGGTTTCCTCCCTCAGGATCTTATGGGGAATGCTTCTCTCTCATGGGCACCACCCTTAGATATTTCTGGTGTAAATAAATGAATCTCGGAGTGGCCACCAGCAGATCTCCCTGAAGGTTCGTGGTTTCCTTATTCGTTTTAGTGGTGGGAATGAACAGAATTTGCTACCAAGCGTTTCTGAAAGCTGGATTAAAGAAGAGGAAGCGTCGGCACCAGGTGAATCCCTACCTTCCAGCGCTCCTGCCCAGACCAGACGCTCTCATATGGAACCCTCATCGTTTTAAAGCGGCAGCAGCACCTGAACCCCGAAACAACAGGGTCCAAACGCACCCGGCCCTAGGCTAAACCAAAGGCTCGATTCCCGACAGACCTGGTCTTCTCCTTTTTCCTCACCCAACATACCGGACCCCTGTGTGGAGTGTGGGAGGCAGTGGAACTTGGGACCATTCTTGTCCCTCTTTGGAGCGGCTTCCTCATCCATAAAGCGAAGGGCTCTACCTAGCGATCCCGAAGCCCCCTCCAGTTCGAAAACTGCCGCGTATGAAAGGGTCCAGCAGACCTCTGGTCCCCCACCTCACGCCCTCTCAACCTCGGCAGAGACGCAGAGGTCTCGTGGGGCCAGGGAACGTTAGATCCGAAGACCCTAAACTGCACCCAGCCTGAAAGAGCCCCCACGATGCCGCGCCCTCTCCTCCGCTCGGGTTTCACAAATCAGCGAGCCAAGCTGGGGGATTCCCGGGTAGGGCAGTGTTCGGATCCCAGCCGCTGCCCACCGCCTGGGCGTATACCCCCTCTCGGGCCACCCTTCTCCCCATCCGTGCGGCGCGTGGTCGCTGCTCACCGCTCCCGAGGCAGAGGCCCTCCCGCCGCGCGACCGCTGCAGGAGCAGCGACCGCAGCACTGCATTCGCGGCTGCAGAACTGTGTACATAGCCGCCATGGCAACGGACCGTTTCCGCAGATTCCGGAAGTGTCGGGTAGTGGCGGAAGTGAAGTCCGCGGCCCTGGGTGGAGACACGAGTAAGGTCAGGGCCGGATCGGAAAGGCGGGAGATGGGACCGGTTAATCCAGAAAGACTGCGGCAACGGCAGGCGCGACAGCACGGTCGGGAAAGCGAGGGAAAGAAGGCTGCGCTCGCACCAGGAAGCGGGGCAGCGGCGCTTCCGGCGCAGAGCAGCCGAGACTACGGCGGCCGTGCAGGTCCGTCTGCTTCTAGCCGTGTGCTCGCGGCGGCAGTCCGCCCCGCCCCGTTTGGTTTCTAGCCGGCCGCCCAGGCCTGCGCAGTCGCGGCGGCCGGGGAAGATGGTGGAGGACGGCGCGGAGGAGCTGGAGGACCTGGTGCACTTCTCCGTGTCCGAGTTGCCTAGTCGCGGCTACGGCGTCATGGAGGAGATCCGGCGGCAAGGCAAGCTGTGCGACGTGACGCTCAAGGTACCGAGGGCTGGGCAGCGCGAGGCTGAGGGATAAGGAACCAAGTGGGGAGGAAAGAAGGGCGGGGGGTAGGGGAAGAGAGGTCTAGCGGGCAGAGCGGTGGGGCAAGGAGGTTGGAGACCGAGTAGGGGAGAGAGAGGTGCCGAGTGGGAGAGGGGATTGGGGCTGAGTGGGGAGACGGACAGGAACAGCCTCTTAGCCCTTGGAAGGAAAGGCTGAGAGGTGCGCGACTGAGGCCCTCGGCGTGGGAGACATTGGGGTGCCGCCTCCCTTTTCTGTCAGACAGGAGAAAATGGACTTGCAGCCCCTCTTTGGAGGAGGGGGCGGTGGCCGCCTCCACATTCTGATGGGCACCAGTGAAGCACCTTCTCTTGTCACCATAGACATTTCTTTGTGCCCCTCGAAGTTAGCTGTGCTGTCTTAGAGCCGCAGGCTACACCTTAGGAGTCATTGCTTGCCCTTGGTCGTTAGATTACTACCTTGTTTCCTAAGAGCTTTTAAAATCATATCTGGACATCTTTTGAGGTGGGCATCTACTCTGCCCCCCACCCCATACTGGAAGGCACACCACCACTACCACCTCCACAAGGGTCTCTGAGGATGGACTGGGTCTGCGTGGGGAGAGGGATCTCTTAACCACCTGTTTCCTACCGGTATTCTGGGCGCAAGAGCCAGCCTTCCTCCTGTGCTTTGCATCCATTCCTGCTGGGGAGGCATGCTGGGCTGCTCCTTGGCCAGATTCCTGAGCCCTCAGGAGCCCTCCAGGTGGAGAGTGACTGCTGTGAACTGTGTTCCCTGTTGGGCTTTGACTTGAGGCTCTGAGCATCTGTGGAAGACCACGCTAAAACGTGTGTGTGTGTGTGTGTGTGTGTGTGTGTGTGTGTGTGTGTGTGTATACATATATGTATATATACATATGTGTGTATATATGTATCTATATATATGTGTGTGTACATTTACATATGTATATATACCTATATACACATACATATGTGTGTATATATATATATGTGTGTGTGTGTGTATATACACACACACACACACATGCAGAGCTCCTTTTACTCTTCTCATTTTCTGCAGAATTAAGGAAACTTTTTTTCTTCCCATATTTGAGTCAGACCTCTGGAGACATGAGAGTAGATTTAAGAGTGTGGAGATAGAAGGATTTGGATTAGAATCCTAGTCGTAACCTTGGGCAAGTTACTTAATGTCTCTAAACATCAGTGTTCCAAATGTAAAAATAGGGATGCCTTCTTATTAGTGTGAGAATTAAATGAGACAATTTGTAGGGCTCTTTGCATGAGGCCTGGCCTACGTTTTAATCCCTTGAGGGGGCTCAATTTTCCAGGAGAGGCATGAGGTGGCCTGAGAGGGAAAAGGATCTTTAGTGGGGAACCAAGGGGTTTGAAAAAAATGAGCTGGACTAAAGGAGTCAGAGGAAGTAAATATAAATGAGGCGGTTACATGTAGATGTCGCGGCTACTAGAGGTTTGTAAGTACAAGAATGATCTGGTTGTGGCGGTGACACTTCGGGTGAGTAGAGACTGGTAAAAAGCAGTAATAGGGGAGGGTTTTTGGATTAAGATTTAGGCTGTAAGGGTGAGCCATGGAAAGCCTGTGAGAGAGAAGCAAAAGCGTATGATACAGGGGGATGATTACAGATATTTCTACATAAAATAAAGCAGTGCAGTTTGCCTCTGCATGTAATGCAAACACAGAATATAACAAGCCTTTGGCATAACAATGCTCGTATGATTTTTTTCCATTAAAATGCTATTTATTCATTCAAAGAGACAAGATAATTACCAGAGGTAGTTCCAACCCAGAGTGTCAGTCTAAATTGCTGTGTTAGTTTCGAGCATCCGGCACATAAGGATAAAGTATAAAGGCACAGAGTAGAACTGAACAGGACCTAGAGAGTGTTTGCTTCATTGGTTTTCTAACTCTTCTGTACAGCCTGAGGAGTAGCTCAGTGGCAATGTGAGGTCGAAGGCCAGGGAGAGGTCATACAAACCAGGCTCTCTCTCATTTCTCTCCCCTTCACTAAAGCTGCCCTGTGAAATCTGTTTTGGTTTCTCTCTCTCTCTCTCTCTCTGTCCCTCAAGATAGAGTCTTTCCTGAAACTTCTGATGTTTCCTGACTATCTTCCAAATAAATTGGGTACTGAAAAGCTGGTTGGAAGCATTTTGGTGTGGGATGGGTTTATTGACTAGTGGTCCTCCTTATAGGGCAGTGCTTCTCAATCTTTAGCAGGTATTATAATCACTCGGTGGCCTGTTCACACACTGGTTGTTGGACCTCACCCCAGAATTTTTTATTCAATTCGTCTGGCATGGGCCCAAGAATTTACATTTCTGACAAATTCTCCAGTGATGCTACTGCTGGCCTGGAGCTGCATTCTGAGAGCCAAAACTGTAGGGTGATGGACCTGACCTTTTCAATGCGATGTGTTCAGAGTCCATGGATCTTCATTCAGGCTTCTGCCTGAGTGGAATAACCTTGGCTGTTACCATTCGAGGAGCCTTGTGATGGGAGGGGACTGGGAGCTCTTGCTTCTGTGTGCAGACTTTCACTTAGTCCCCTGAATGGTGCCACTTCCTTGTCTTCAGTGGTTCCCTGGCTGCCCAAGTTTGGAGTCTAGTTCGTCCTGTCCAGATGATAAACCTCCAGCGTTTATCCAGCAACGGAACAGTTGCTTGCCTAGTGGAGGGGAGCAGTACTGTCTGATTGTGGCCTCCCTTATCCCCACACCTTCAGAGGAAGCCTGAGTCTCCAACAGTTGAGTTTTGGAGGGGGCTCTGCAGGGACTTGCCATCTGTAGCACTCAGTATTCTCCATCTAAATCAGCTACTACTCATCTTCCAAAATTTGGTGATGATGCTTTTAATATCCTCTTTCTTTCAGCTTCTTTTTCCTTGGGAGCTTTGCTGTTTCTTGATTGTCAGTCTAAGAGGTAGTATATAGTACAGACTCAAGCCAGACTGCCTGGGTTTGAACCCTGGCTCTGCCAGTTATTAGCTGTGACAACTTGGGCAAGTTCCTTAAACACTGGTGACTTAGTTCCTTCATCTTTAAAATGGGTGTCATCACCTACCTAGTAAGTGTGTTAGGGATTCCATTAGTTAATGCACTTAAAACAATCATGTAGTAAATGTTCAGTAAGCAGTAGATATTTATGAATAATAATTTGATGGCGCTTCTAGAAGGGAGGGGAAATAAATGGGTATGTTCAACCTGCCATTTTGAATTTGTTTTAGCTTCTGATGAATTCTGGATGATTTTATCTAAACATAACGTTCATTGCCTTAAAAGAGTTTGCAAACCACTGCTTTGCTTCAGTAGCCTGCATTTTACAGATGAGGACCCAAGCCCAGAAGAAGAGACTGGTCCAAGGTCACAGACTGAGTTAGGCGGAGCTAGGACTAGAGACTGGACTCCTGGTCTCTGTTCTCCTGGCCAAGTGTTCTTTCGTGCTCTCCTGTTGCCTCTTCTGTCACTGACAGTGGCAGAACTGATTCCAGCTGCTAATTCAAAGTGGATTAATCTACCTCAGGTCAACCCTCACTCATCCTTAACAACATGTCATCTTTTCTGTCCTCCCGAGTTTTAGTGAGAGTGTGCAAGTTAGCGTTAGCAGGTATGATGCAGTCTGTAAGCTCACTGCCAACTCCTAAACCTTTCTTAGTTTTGTTTTTGGAAATATTTGAAATTTAAATTCCTTGGGCACCTGTTGGATAATTAAGAAGAGGCATAACAGAAAGGGCAATAATGCTGGATTTTTAAAACCATATTCTGTATCTATGTTGACTTTAACCTTTTTCTTAAAAACTGAAAATGATGAACCCTCTTCCCAGAAAAATGTGCATACAAAATTTTGCATTCAGTCATAGGCACGATTCCCCTGAAGCCCATCTTTGGGTCATGGGTCATGAATCCAGCTGAGTATTGTTCTCCTATTAGGAAAAACCCATGGTCCATCTACTTGACAAATCATTTTATCTTGAAGGCACGGAGGATAGCAGTGCAGGACTTCTCGGCAACGTATAGCAGAAGGCTTGGTCTGGGTAGAGGGGTTTGCGTCCGGTCAAGGCTCTTAGCCCCTCTTTCCAACAGCTGGTTTCATGTCCTTTCCTCTGGGCCACCAGCTGCCCAGTGCTCAGGCCACATCTGTCAGGCTCACGTGTGTCCAGCGAGTTGAGCAGATTCAGTGAGTGCTCACCACGGGTTGTTATTCATAAGATCTAGACCCACCACTTTAACATTTGTCTGTTCTCCTCTCACCTCACATACTCCTTTTTCTTTATTTGTGAGGACAGAATGGGGTCACCAAACCTGAATATTACTCACTGATCCATCAGCTTAGGAGAACAGCTTCCCACACACACACACACACACACACACACACACACACACACACACACACACACACTCTCACACCCTGATTTGCAACCACTAATGAATGGTTCTCCAACAGTTTTCTGGCATCAGTCTTCTAGCATTTTCCCAAGGGCCTTGCTGAAGTTTTGAGCCCAGATCTGAGAATTTATCCTCTGGAAAGAAATGTCTTTTCCATGGGTAAAAGGCACAGTATTAGAATATTTCCTTTTGACCCACTAAACCCAAGTACGCAATTTTCATTGAGACTGGCTTCAAAAGCCACACATTTGAGTGGAATCTTGCCTAAGTTTCTCTCACACTGATTTTGTGACGAAGGAGTATGTGGAGAAGGATATCAGGAAGTGAAGTAAGAACTTGTTGATACATGCCACTTTTATGTTGTGTGTGGTGTTACACAGGTATAATTACAGAGCTGGAGGAATCCTATGAAAAGGAGCCATAGAGATCCTCTATCAAAGCCATTCATGTTACAGATTAAAAAACCCTGAGGCTTAGAGATATTAAGGGACTGCCCAAGGCACAAAGCTATATTCTCTGGGATCCAACATAGCTGTTTGTTGGGGGAAGGAATGCCTTTGCGTCCTCTATCAGATTACTCACCT